TAGAAACTTGAAATTTTAGATGTAGGTGCTCCTAGTGCCTGCGCAGGTCGAGTTTGTTGTAAAAATCGATTTCGATATATATATGTATATATATATATATATATTTGATGTTGGAAGAAGAGGGTTCAGGGTATCCCCTAGTCGGGAGCTCCCGACTAGAACCTCTTACTTGTTTATTTTTTTTTTTTTGTATCATTTTAAGCTTATGCTTCAACCTGCTCTCGAACCTTCTTTGGTTTATTATTCATATTTTGCCTGCTCGCATATTTATGAATCCCTTCGCTCGTTCATCTTATCGAATAACTTGTCAATATTTTCGATCGCCCAACGCACTATCTGGACTTTGTCGTTGCTCATTTGCAGTAAAAAAAATGAGAGGGGGAGGCAGAAGAAAATATATGCCAGCTATTGCCCTAGTCCGGCCTTCGGGGCATGTGGCAAATTGTATTGATTTTGGCTACAGCGAAATTTTATGAACAGGCAGCTTTGTTCATGTTCCGATTATGCTCCTTGTTTCATTTGGGACATGCTCCTGTTTGCTTGCCTGCTTAGTGCAGGTTGTTAAATGCTCCCAATCTTTGCCCTGCTGTCAAGTATTTCTTGTAGCTGTTGGTTTTTCCTAATATATTAGACATTTTTTGCCTAAGTGCTTTGGCTTATGAAATTGCGTACAAAGTGAATAAATTTAGTTTGCTATTTCCTTTTCTTGATTTTTTTTTCGTTGAGTGCACTTTAAGCAGCTTCTTTTTCAAGTTGTGAAGTTTTTCCTTTATTGTTTAGAGTTGACAGCCTGCTGCAGCTTGTTATTTAGCTTAACAGAGAGTGATAAATTCTTAAATTTAAATTAAATATGGCTTTAAGTTATTTTAGGAGCAATATTTGCTGCTCTGCTCTCTCTTTAGGAAGCGAACAATGCAAATAATGTCCTGTTAAATGGCATTTCGTGTCACGTTAACCATCTCTAGAGCAACACTTCTCGCTCTAGACCGTATTAGTTCCACACAAAGTCACGTGTCACGACAGAAAGTGGAAAGGGTATTTGTGCAAATGTAGGTAACAGGCTGAAGAAGCTACGACTCCATAAAGTATATATATATTCTTGATCAGCACCAACAGCCTAGTCGAATTAGTCATGTCCGTCGGCCTGAGAACCTATAAGAGATAAAAGACTTGAAATTTGGAACGTAGGTACTCCTGATGCCCGCACAGTACGAGTTTGTTTCCGATAATAATCGATAACATGTCCAGCCTTGAAGCAATCGATCAGAATCGATATCGAAGTACTGTTTTTTAGCAATTCTCTTGGGTTTTAAGAGCTAGACAAAACCAAACTTGACATTTACCTTCTAGAAAAGTATATACAAATCAAGTATTTTTCATAGTATAGCTATCGCTGCCCTACATTTTCTATTGGTAGAAAAAGGTTCAGGGTATTTCCTAGTCGGTCAGCACTCCTGCTTACATACTCGTGTCACGCATTTGAACACTAGCTGTAGCCATAACCAAAGAAAACTGCATTCCTGAGCGCATAACTTAAGCTGCTGAAAATTTGAGAAAAAATGCGCTTGAAAATTTTTTTTCCATATAACGTTACAGATTCTTTATTTAGTTCTTTTTTGTTTTATTTTATTTTCTGTTTTTCACTTGTTTTTTTTTGCGTTTTGTTTGCTTTTATAATAATTTTCGTTTAATATAATTGCAGTTGTTGTTTTTTCTTGTCTGTATAAATGTGTGTGTGTGTGTATGAGTGTATGCATTTGTATATATATGTGTGTTTGTGTGTGTATAATTTGCCTTAACTTAAGTTTTCCCATGCTCTCTCAGCTTGCTGTCAACTTACACAATTTCCCACAATTTTCATAATTTTCTTCATTTTTTTTGTCAATTGTTTTTCTCTTTTTCACGTAGTTTGCAATTGCCAATTGCCAAGGGAATTCGCATTGCATTTTGTTCCTGCGCACTTGCAATTAATTCGTTTTAGTTTCGCTTTGCAGTTTAGTATTTTTTAATATTACTCGTAATTTATTCATAAATTTTTGTTGTTGTTTTCCTTTTAATACTAGTTGCCATTTGTTTAATTTTAAATTTCTCGTTTTTTTCTTTTTATTTTTATTTTATTTTTACTGTATATTTAAGTGATTTTACATAATAATGTACTTATATGCAAATTTATCTAAAACTGCATTTGAAATCGGTTTTTGGTTTTCTGTTTTTTTCTGCTTTTCTGGTTTTCCATTTCGTTTGACTCATTGGGAATGCGCTTGTTTTCTTTATAGAGTTATTGTTGTTTTTGTTGGTAAAAAATGCATACATTATAAATACATAGTTATCAAATAGTATGATGCCTCGCATTGTGTGTGTGTGTGTGTGTGAGTGTGTTCGTATTTGGGTTATATGAATGCTAGAGCCGTGTGTGTGAGTGTGTGTGCATTATTTATTTATATGTATGCATGTATGCATGTGTGTGTGTATGTGTACTCGTATATGCCTTCTAACTTACGTTACAAAATATATAACAAATATGTGTAAATGATTATATATAATGTTTTTCTTGTTTTGCCCACTTCCCAAAAAACCTCCTGATGTGCTGCTTGTTTTTGTTTTTTCTCTTTTGTTTTGTTTTTATATAAAATATCGTAAGTTCTGGTAACTATATTTTGCTTACTCCTTTTTTCGTCTGCATCGCCTGAAAGTGCTTGGTAATTATAAAATGTAATAATATATACGCCTATACATACACATAAATGCAAATCTATATAGTCAAAATGTGTGAACTAAATCTCTTGCCGAAACAAAGCAAATTAACGTTGCCAGCAAAACTGAGCATAATGCAAATTTCGTTTAATTTCAAACAGAAATATATTCGTTGAATTGAATTTGTATTTCAAAAGTCTCTTGAAAATTATATTGTTTAATTGGCAGTGTTGATACGTGTTTTTTTTTGCTGTACTGTTTAATTTATTAATATATTTATTTGTATGTTTTTTGTTTTTGAAGCATCGAAATGAAGTCTTTGCAAAACATTGAATCGAAGTCGCATCAATATCAAATTGTCTCCCTCTCCCTCAAACTTCTGTGCGGCTTTGCTTTATATGGATTTTAGTTGTATATAATTTGTTAACAGTTAATGTGCTTTTAAAAATTGTCTTGAACAAACAAGTACAGCAAGTAATGCATTTAATTGCAGTTTTATTTTTAAATATTTAAATGTACTTTTATTTGTTAAATATTTTTGTTTTTCGCTGTATGGTTTAACAATTACGTTAAAATCTTTGCACTTTTCAATAGTCAACTCTTGTTGCAGTTTTCTCTAGGTTTTCTTTTGTATATATTTTTGTTTTTTTTTGTTGCTTAGTTTTTGGAAAAGTAAAATAAAATCAAACTATTTTTTTTCTTTTGTTTTTTGCTTTAGGAATTTGGGCACTTTGCCTGGAAAACTCTATGATTTATGCATGCACTTGATTTGTTGCAGTGTATTCTCATCTTCTTTTTTTGTTTTATGTACTTACGGTTCCATTTCAATTGCTAAACCTGGCTGACTTTGCAATGCGAAAAAAAACACTCACACATAAAATCAACAAAGTAATCAACTTGTATGGCAGCAGCTAACTGGCTTTCCAATTGGATTGTGTTTGTTTTCTTCTTCTTCTTCTGTTTTTTTCTATATATAATAACTACATAGTATGCTATTGTGGGATCTCGTATATACTTATATGGAGTATATATATATATACGATATGTTGTGTGCAACAAATGAAACAATAAACATTTTGGAATATTATTATTTTAAATTGCACTCATAACTGTGGCTCAACTTGTGGCTAAAAAGTTGCGCATTTGGTTTATTTTTTCGGCCAGACAAATCTTTATGGCCTTTATGATCTCTAAAATGGCTGGAAAACAAAAAAAGCAAGAAAATAAAAATGCAACTGGCCAAAAAATAAACCATTCTATATCCTTCTCAGTATTTTGTCGTGTGGAAAAGTTTAGTTTTAAATGCAGTTGGTTTGTTTTTGTCGTTTTTGTACGAGTAGTATATTTATTTTTATATATATATATATGAAATGTGTGTGTGTGTGTGTGTGGTTTTTAATATACTTTTTAATTCAGTTTACTTGTCGAATGCGGTTGTTGTTTTTATATTTGAATCGTTCATTTCTAGTTTAAATGACTTAATAAGACTTTAAGGTTCTGCTACTAATTTCGTATGATTTAATTACGTTTGTTTATTACGTGCTAAAAACTAATAATATATACAATGTAAAATACTTTTCTTTTTCTGGTTTTTCTTTTCGTTTACTCTTTAAGTATTTCCATTTAATTATATCAATTGCGCTAAGTTCGTCTAAAGGTAAATTTCTGCTTTTATTCTTTTCCCATTTCTCATTTAATTGTCTTCAGCTAGACACGTGTTTGCTTTCTTTTCATTTCTTCGCGTTTTAGCTTAAGTTTTGTTTATTTTAGAATATCATTTGTTTTAGGAGTATTTTCTTCATTCATTTTTCCACTTGCTGTTGAAAGAAACTGTTTTGGCCAGAACGGTTCAGTTTGTGTATTTCGAAACTGTCTGGTTTTAGTTGTAGGTTTACTTGTGCTGATACACAACGTAACGCCCCTTGTAATGCCAGTTAAAAGTTGTGTTTCGTTTAATTTATTTATATATATATATATATATATATATATATATATATATATGTATATATTTATGTGTTTTTTTCTTCTTGTGTATATATGTACTTGTTATGATGGAACGAAAACAGTCTTTGGGTATTCATTTATATAAAGTTTAATTATGTTCTTTAAGTTTAAATCTTAGAAATTAATACGAAATCAAAATAATATAATACTCATTTATGTCAATTTATGTGTAAATTTAAAAATAAACTATACGTATTTAGCTTGGCCTAAATGACTTGCCAAACATAAAGTACTTAAGAATGTTGAACTTAAAATAATAATCATAACATTTAACGCAAAATTAAAATTAATATGCACAACAAATATATTCAATTTGTTTTCCATTTTCACTTCATTATAATCAAAATTGAAAATGGAAATTCATGCACGCGCCTAATCTAAACTTTGGTATGCTCTCGCCCCCTTGCTCAATACTCTAGGTTTTTCGTATTCCTTGCTTAAAAATTTTGCGTTCTCTTCACACTAAATTAATTAGAATAATTATTAAATTTAAATGCTGATGAAGTATTTTTTACAAATGTCATTTTACGTGTCAAATGTGTTTAGTTTAAATAGGTTTGTTTTTGTTTTCAAGTTTTTGTTTGTTTTTGTTTTCTCTTTTTTTCCACTAACTTAGGGTTCTGCCATGCTTCTTTGGTTGCGCTTCTTTGTGTTTGAGTTAGCGAGAAAATCGTTTACAATGATTTTTGCCTAAACTCCACGGTCGTGTAGAATTTTTAAATGCAACTTTTGTGGCTACTTAACTGCGTTTACAGTTTCGGGCTTCGATTTTCTTTTCTTTTTCTTCTTTTTGGCTGGAAACTTACAATTCGAGCTCGGTGTTATGCGGATTGGGCGCCTCCGGGCCATACATGTTGGCCAGCTTATCGAAACGCGGACCCCAGGCTCCGAGGTAGTCGTATTCCTGCTGCTCATCATCGGTGCCTGTAAGCAAAAAAATATGCAGAACAAATTGTTTTAATACGCGAATTTCAATATTGCAAAGTGGGAAATAAATTCCGAATTTTATGTTATGTATTTGGTATTTTATAATACTCGCATTTTTTTTATAAGAAATTTGCTTGAATCAAAAATATCGTGCTTCTCATTTGCGAGTGATTTCAGTATTTTGTGCAACATTCAAAATCTTCAAAAATATCGTACATTTGTGGCGAATTTTTGCAGTATTTTTACAATAGTATATGTGTTCACAAAATACTATACATTAATTGAATAGTGTTTCGGTTAGTATATCTAGTATTTTGTCAAAGAAATACAATGCAATAATTGCATAATGTTTCGGTATATTTTGTATTTTCAGTATTTTTTCAACACATTTAATGTCTTCACAAACTATCTTACAAAAATTGCATTGGGTTTCGCTCAGTGCACTCAGTATATCAGTATTTTTACTCTACCAATTGTCACGGCATATAACAATTTTTTAAAATATACCATTTTCGAGTTTTAGTATTTATCTGTTATTATTTTTGCTTTGTATTTTTCGGTATTTTTAGTATTTACTTAATTTTACACCCAATATTCGGCGGTTTTTGAGCGTTGCTGGCCTGTAAATTTAAAAAAAAGTAATAAAATAAATAGAAATTTGCGCATTGTGAATATTTTGAACTACTTGGTAGCATACTTTTTGGGGTGCAGCTAAACCAGTCACTACGCATTTGTATCGAATATTGCCGCAATATTGGGTGCAAATCTAGTCATGGTGAGCACCGAAATGCTAATCGAATGCTTAATCAGAATTGTTAAACCCACCTGAGGCCAATGAGCTAAGCGAACCGGCTGTGCTGCCGCCGCCCTCGTACGCATAATTGCGCAAATCATCAAAGGGTGGCGCATTCGGATCGCCATCGGCTCGCTTTTTATGCTCCTCGATGAACATGCCCACATTGGGCTCCTGGCCGGGCATAAGCGTCATCACGGGATCTGCAAAGATTGTCAACAAATTGTGGCAAACGTATTATATCAGAGTTGAGAAAAGTAATCACACGATACATTAAATGATAAATTTATTCGACAAATATACTGCACAAATATGAAATAAGTACTTACACATAATTGGCATTTTCATGGGCGCCAATTCAGGCGGCATTGGCCCACCAATTGGTATCTGCAATGGCGTTATATCAAAGGCGGTCATATCGTCCTCGCCGCCGCCCTCATCATCGTAATTGATAATATTCTCGCGCACATCATCGTCGGGTCCGGGATATTTGATATGCGCCTCACGTCGCCGATTGTAGACCACAAATACCAAAACGAGTACTATGCGAAAAATCAAAGGTATTTTGATTAATTGGAATTCGTGCATAACTGTACTCAATATCTAACTATTTCATATGCAACAACCAATTACCAAAGGACTCTACTGCAATATGAACTAAATTAAATACGTATTCGTTTGGCATGCAAAAAAAAAAAAAATAAGGTAATTTAAATGGTGAATTTAACTGAAGCAATTTTACTCGGAAATAGTCGAAATAAAATCTGCGCTCTCTTCACAGTTGCAAAAAGGTTCTTAATTAAATTCTCGCAAAAAATAAAACAAATGGAAGAAAAGCGAATTGCATAAAATGTGCTAAAAGCAAAATAGAAAAAACACACGCGCGCTTGTTTTGAAAAAAAAAAAAAATAAAATAAAATAAAATAATAAAAGCAAATATAATAGGAAATAAAGAAAACTGTGTAAAAAAAGATTTCAGATTTGTGAAAACCAAAAGATTGTATACCCTAGCTGAGACATGGAAAATAAAAATTCGATTTTTAGCACAGAGCAAAAAACATAATTACTGAATATATATCAATTCTAAATGAAAACAATGTTCCACGACAAAGTGTGGAAAATGCGTGAAAAACTGGCCTAGCCTTAAAAATGTAAAATATTTCGTTATGCCTAGAGAGACATGGATTGCAGGATTCAAGATGCAAGATCCAAGTATATATAGTTTATATATATTTATACTATCGATATATAATCATTTGTAAGTGTTGCACAAAGCGTGTCCAGTTCGTAATACTCATTGGCCGAGCACATAGAAATGTACAAACAAATATGGCGCACATTGTCCCAGTTTTCGCCTTTAGTCTCTTGCCGCTTAACCCGCGAGCCTCTTTCCCCTCTCTCTTTGCTTCTCTCTGTCACTCTCTCCCTCTCTGTCTTTCTCTCTCCCTCTCTCGCTCTCTCTCTTTTTGTCTACTGTTTGCGGCTGTTACTGTAACTGCCACTGTGCCAGCCAAATATTGCTTGCCAAAAGGGCAAAATCGAGCTGCTGCCGGCGCTTTTGTCCACGCTTTATGCCGCCATTTTGTTGTTGTTGTTGTTGTTGTTTCCGTTTCCATTCGTTTCGGTTTCTTTATTTTTTGTTCCGTATAGCTTCTGTCGTCTTTTGGCTGCTGTTTCGCTGCTGTTTTCTAATTTTGTTCCTGCGTCTTCTGCGAGCATATTGCAGCATCTGTTGCACAGCGCAAAGTTTTTTAACTTATTTGGACAAAGCAGCCGTAGAAGTTGTTCCCCTCTCAAGTAATTTGCTGTGGGCTGTCAAGGGGGGGCTGTGTGTGGTCTAAGAGTGTGGGGGGTTACACCAAACTTTTTGCCAAACAGCTGGCAATGGCCAAAATGGACGTCGCGTAATTGCAATTATTGTGTTACTCAAATTCGCATTCTCGGTTTGTGGTTGGTTTTCTTCCACTCCCCACATGTTTAATTTTACATTCCATAGTTTAACTTAACATGCCGTTACAAGAAGAAGAAGAAGCACAAGTAACAGATAAAAAAGGAAAGAGCTGTCCATTTATTTTCGCCTCCGTTCGTTCAATAAACTTTAATTTATGTGCATCGCTCGGCCGCATGTAATTTGCGGAAATGACTTTTGACGTTTGCCTCTCTGTATAAAAAAAGGGAGAATTTCTGCGGCTCGCTTGGGCGTGGCCAATTGGTAAATGTATGGCTTAATTAATTTCCAGGCCTCGGCGATTTCATAAATATTCAAATGACGTAAACTCCATAAAATAAAAATACAGTCATTTTTACTTAAATGCTTTTAACTGCGCGTTTTACAAATTGAACGTAATCGGTAACAGAAAATAAAAAGAAGAAATAACATAATTGCCACTTAAAGTTCGGATTTGCGAAAATTTATGCATTATTCGCTTTTAGTTGCAACGATAAATCTTGATAGATATCGATTAATATCGATAACTTGCAGAACACGTGCAATGGGGATTCCGTCCGATATAACGATAAGTGTCAATCGATTTTCGATAAACATAGATTGGTCTCGATAAGCATTTATATATATTTTAAACAATTATCGATAGGAATTATATGGAGTTTTTGCGCAATTAATTTATAAAAAGTTGGGTACAAATCAAAATAAAAACTTAAAAGTAAGTAAAACTATATATTTGCTCATGCAAAATTAATAAAAATAAAACGAAAAGAGAAAGCTTTGTAAAGAGTTGAGTAAATTGTTAAACAATTAAATACGTGCTTACTGAAATTTATTTCGGCTAAATGATTAAATATACATTTTTGGCCATGCACATATTGCCTGTACTTACTTCGACGATTTCCACTCTAATACTAAACATATTTGTTTAAAGCTACTCTAACTTGACTTAGGCATATTTCTCAGCTTACCCGCTTGCCGCGAATATACGCGAAATATACGTGTATATAGATATATATCTATTTACATGGCTTGTCTATACTTACGTATCAGCGTGCTGAGGCAGAGGACCAGGGCAATAATAAAATCACGGGATGGTGTCAACACCCCAGAGGCCAATAACTCCAGTTCACAATGCATACCGGTAAAGCCCAAAGGACAATGGCATTCATACTTCTTGGGCGGCTGATGATCGCGACAGCGTCCCCCATTGCGGCAGGGGAAAAGCAGGCATTCGTTCTCATTGACGCAACTGCTGCCAGAGACTTTATAGCCCGCAGGACAGCTAAACGTGACAAGGGCACAACCGTGAAACAACGTGAAACGTATTCGATGTCAGGCGCGCAGTTTTGAGTGTGTGGGGAGTTGAGTGTGGTGATTTGCGATGTGTAGAGTTGTGTAGCGTTGTTTGTGTGTGTTGTTCAAAGTAGAGTGTTGGAAAACAAAAAGAGATTATTTTAAATTTGTTGTACATCATGCAAGGCGTTGTGTGTGCGCGAGTGTTGTAAAGTTTCTTCGTTTCTTTTTTTTTTTAACGCTTTCATAAAGCTTGTCCTTGCTGCCGTTATGAAAATGGAAATTTAGTTCAAGTGTGTGTGTAAGTGTGTGTGCGTGGGAGCACAACTGTCAAAAAGTCTTATGAAACGTTCGTTTCGTTCGCTGGCGTTTTTATTGTTGTTGTTGTTGTTCTTGTTGTTATTATTTTGCGCTTTGGCGCTTTTCCATTCACAATTTTCAGTTTTACAGCTTACAGATTTTCTTAGCTGGTACAAACTTTATGCATTTGCGGGTATGTGTGTGCAGGGTGGGGAGGGTTGTCTTCTCGTGTGTGTTTGGGGGCTTCTAAAGTGCACTTTTGCTTTTCACTTGCACTTTTTTTTTTATTTTGTTTCTTGTTTTATGATTATTATGCAGTTGTTGCTGATAGAATTGAATAAAGTTTCCTGCTGCATATTCTTCTTCTGACCAACCGCAATGTGTTCGTCTTCTTCCTTTTTTTCTTCTGACATTTCAAATGCATTTGGCACTTGCTTAAGTTTTGTTTTGATTAGTTTGCACAACAAACTCTCTCTCTCTCACACACACATGCAGACGCCTGAAGGGTAGCCAACAATTGACATGTGCTGAGAGGCAACCCCAAGTTAATTTATAGCTTGGCACCCCTTAATAATAAACTGTCAACTGGAAACTGTGTGACCTTCGTTACGCATTTTATTTTAAATGTTGAGAAGCTATTTGTGTGCTCTTTGAAGCGAAAAGTTTGCTCTCTACATGTATGCATGGATCCCCAGGAGATTGTTAATAAACATAACCGAAAGTTTTGTGAAACTTTAGCATTTGGTTTCACTTCATTTTCCACTTAGCTGCTCCTATTTGCAGCTGTGCGCGAAATGCAATAATAATGCCACAAATTTGTTTAACTTTGCATGCAAAACTGAATCAAAGTTAGAAAAAAAGCTAAAAGTCAACAGACTTTGCGGCTGACTTTTCTTTTCAAACGCAGACATAAGACACCTTTGATATATTGACGATTATTGGCAAATACCAGAGACTTCTTGACCAACGAGCCAACAAATCGCACAAAAGCGCCGCACAGCGGGCGGCAGCATAAACTGCAAACTGCGCCACCAAATGCCAGTTAAGGAACAGCAAGAGGAAGCATTGAAGGAAAGCCAGCAAAAACTTTCACACTAAATCAGCGGCAGAAAAAGCTGGGCACAACTAAGGGAAGCAAGAAAAAAAAAGTTGCATAGTTTTTTGCGCTGCGCCTTTTAGTGATTGCTCCCAAGTGCGTTGTTGAAGCTGATCAAAAGTGGGCACTTTATAGAGTATATATATATATGTATAAATATATATATATCTTGATATATTTATACACTTTTTCAGGTTTGGACAGTGCTCGGCACAACTTTGCCATATTTCAAGTCATTAAGTTTTACTTAGAGTTGGCATGAAACAATTTCTTTGTATACCCTGTAAACATATAAACATATCATCGGGAACTATCTAACATTCTCTATGTATCGAATTCGTTTTATAGATTCTTTTTTCTCTATACACATTTACGTGCTACTAAAAGCTGTTATTATATCGAAAATCGATTAACCTACTTCAGCAAATTCGATTAATATCGATTTTCAATCTGATATTTCTTAGGGTTTTTCTTAATAGTTGGCCAATTAATTGAATGCAGTGTGGATTTATTATGGATTTCTAAAATCATCTTCCTCTCTTCTCAAAATCGATAAATATCGATTTTCACTTCTAGTTAATTGAGGTTTTTTCTTAATATTTGGCACTTGAAAATGTTCAAAGCTCCCTTGGAATTCCAAAAGTTTAAAGGCAGTGGGATTACACTTTAGACCTGGCTAAAGGGTATCTCTTAGTCGAAAATTTAACGCGCGCCCTGCTCTTGGAACATTATTTACCTACAAAATGTTTGTTCTAAACTTGAACTGTGTGCTCTTATGTGTGTTTGTGTGTATATATGTTTTTGCACACACATGGTTACGCAGCGGAAATGCTCTTAACTTGTATTTAAAAAGAAAAATCTCACAAGTAGCAACCGAAAAAAAAATGAGGGAATAAGCAGATAAAACGAAAAAAAGGGAGAAAAAAAACGAACGTTGTGTGTCTGCAAATCCTCGCGAGACTCCGCAAATGAAACTGGCAGCTCCTTTGAGCCTCAGGTCTCAGGACTCACGACTCTTGACTCCTGTTGTACTACATATACGTTCTGCGCTTCGTCTATCTGTTTGCTCAAGCGGATTTAGTGCATCGTGATTTTTCGAAATGCCAAAGCTGAAATCAGCCATTGCTCTTTCAGTTGTCTGCGCCTGGCCTCGTCCTGTTGGCCAACTTGTATGTATCTTTGACTGCACATTTATTATCTTACCTGAAGGCATTTAAGCTCTTCAGGATTCTGTGCTTGGCTTCTTTCAGTGCAGTTTACAAGGTAAACGCGCGCCTGTGTGTGCGTGTGCATGTGCGTGAATGTGGGTGTTGGCTGGGGGCGTAACAGCTAAAGTTCTTAATATGTGTATGTGTGTGTGTGTGTGGGAGAGAAACTGTAAAGTCGTTTTCTTTTAGTAACTGCACTTTAAGCTTTGTTTTCTTAATTAGTTTTCCAGAGCTGCTCGGAAAATGTTTAAGATTATATTCTATTTTTTTTTTTTTATAACTGTGATCAGGAGCATAACTCTGCCTAAGCTCAAATATTTTTACAAAATGTTGAATATTTTTTATATAGTGTTTAATTAAAGTGCGATTTAAGTGTTTATTATATTTATTTAAGGAATTTTTAATATGTATATATATTTATGATATATTTTAATATATTTTATTATCCTCTAATATTTCAGATAATTAAGCAATTGTCTAGAGAAATATTGTTATAAATGAAACGGAACTATATATATGTAAGTACATACCTTTCAGTTTGTTATGTTCTTGATATATAAAACATTTATTTATTATAAAAATATTTAAACACACACACGCACAAACAAACAGAGAGAAAGTTATTGAACATTGTGTGTGGAAACAGAAAAAATTGTGCCATAAATAAAGTCGATAATAAAGAAGATGTTAACGCTAACATCAAATGATGCTGATGGAATGCAGATGAATGTGGAATTACAAAACTATATTTCATTCATTTTTTCTTTCAATATAAATATCATGAAATAAGCGTCACATAGCTGATAAATATCACAAGAATTTTATAAAATATACAAATTCGGAATTCAGTGAGCTGTGATATTTTTTTTATGAATGAATCGATGCGTGTGTAGCTGAATGATGGGATTTTATGCATTTGACATATGTATATTCGCATGGTATGGTATGGCATATGATATATGATATATATATGTGGGCTAAATCAGTTTCAATTGGACCAAAATAAATGCAGCAAATTATGGTCCAAAAATGCTGGGTAACTAAATTGTGTGTGTGTGTGTGTGTGTGTGTGGGAGAGGCAAGGCAGGCTTACAAATGAAAAACTCAAATGAAATGCCCGTATATGACATGATGTAGGATATAGGTAGATATATGCATGAATGAATTGTATTGTGAACAGCTAATAAAATGACAGATTATATGGCAAACGGTAACTAAACTAAAGGCAGGCGCTAAAGCACTAGTTGCTCACTTTAAATAATATTAAATGGTCTGTTCGTTGTTGCATATAAAGCTAGATATTTATATATATACAGATGTATATTTTTGATTTGGAATTGATTTGAATTGCTCACTCAGTATGATCAGCAGGCAAACGAGTATGGCCGCCAGGGCGCCCATGCTCAGCTTGAGGGTCTGACCCTCCTGCACCAGCTCACAGCTCTCGCCCCAGAAGCCGTCGGGGCAAATGCAGCGATAACGCAGACGCGGCTCGAGATTAATGCACGTGGCGCCGTTCATACAGGGCATATCGAGGCATTCGTTGCGATCCATGCAACCCTTTGAATCGGGCGACATGATGCGTCCCTCGCCGCAACTATTTTTTTTTATATTTAAAATTCGCATTCGATATCGAAATGTTAAAGTTAACATAATACTGTTATATCTTTGTTAAGGGCAGCTAAGTGTGATTGATGGGCAATAGAAACTAAAATAATTCGCATAAATGTGGGCCAATGTTGGGTTAGGTCTCACGTATGTCCATTTACCGATTGCTGTTAAGCTCTTAGCAAACGAAAATGTTAAGCTATGTCTGATGTAACTTTAACCGTTTAACCGATAACTGTTAAGGGGTTAGCCGGCAAACCGATAGATGTTCACTAGTCGGTAAAAATGGAAGTCTTTTCTGATGTAAGTTTACCCGTTTGGTAAATATAAAAGTCTTATGTAGAGCCAATTTGGTCAGTCTATGTTCTTCTATCCATTTTCTGTTAAACCGTAGAGCTATGTTTGGCGTTAGTCTGGTAGGCTTTCGTTCCATTATCGATTAACCGATTGTTTTGGGCTTATCCGTCAAATGCAAAGACAAGTAAGTCTTACTTAGGGCCAATATGGTAACATTTACTTCCCTGTAACCGATGTCTGTTAACCGTTTTAGAAGATTATTTAAACAGAGTTCAGCTTTTAACAGTGGTACTAAAAAGTTTCGTAATAGCTTTAAGGCAAACAGAGAAATGAAAACCAATTAAGCACTGTTTAAAACATTTCAGTGTGAAATCAGTTGGGTTATAGCTTATAACCTTTTAGCCGATTTATGTTAACCGCTTCACAAAGGCTGAACAATCAGACATGTGGAGGCCAACTAAGCACAAGAACCGCCACGCGTGATGCGTGTTGTCAAACGCCACAGATATACATATATATTTTGCTACTGTGTGTGTTTTTTTTTGTGTGTGTTTGTGTGTGTGTGTCTGTTTAAGCTAGTGCCTGATGAAAAAGCGTGAATATGTACAGTTGCGTTCAGGTGATGGAGACAAGAGCATATCGATTTGTGCCTGCCCTTAAACCTAATCCGATTGATTTGTCACGCAACGTTAACCGCCCCAACACGTGGCCAGCGACTAACTCGGTTTGTGTGTGTGTCCTGGACCAGGACGAGGCAGCTCAACAGGCTGGCAGCGTCAGTTGATTGACGTACAGCGTAAGCTGCCGGTGACGCGGCACAATTTCGATTTTTCACTGCTTTTATCTTTTATTTATTTTATTTTTTGTCGCATCCTCTAATTGATTAAGCCTATCAAATGTTCAATGCCGATTCTTGGGCATGAAATACTTTTTCGTGTGCTTGGTATTTTTCAACACTCGTTTTGTTGCTTAGTTGTTTAATTTTGTGCTATGACCCATGTATGTTTATTAATTTAAAGGTTTTGTTTTAGGTATTTTGTGAGTCTTTTTTTTTTGTCCACAGTCCGAGTTGTCTTTTTCTAGGTATTGTTTCTTTTTTTTTAACGTTTTCATTATGAGAAACGAAAGAGCAATACATGAATGTGTGGAATGTAAATTAAAATTGAATTTAGCTAGTGGCAAGACTTACGTGCACTCATAGACATTCCAAAGATCCACACACTCGAATGGATCGGGACAAATGACATTCGAGCAGGGCTTGTTCGAGGGGCAACCCTTTTCCAAATTACGCGCCATTGTTGCCTGGCCCCACTGTGTGCCATTCATGGCGGGTGGCAGGGGCAGGTGTTTGCCCTCCAGACTGCAAAAGATAAAACAACATAATATAAAGTTAGTTAGTGGGCGGGCAAATAAAAAAAGCAATTAAGCATACGCACCGTATATCATCTAGACAGCTCTTCTGATAGTCCGCATACACTTCGAATGTGCGCACGCCCGTATATTCGGCCTTGCCGCCCGCATAGACTCCCTCCTGCTTGTCGACCAACAGCCACTGATGCCCCACAAACTCGAACGTCTCATTGTAACGCCTGCCCTCGCCGCCATCCAGCTCCAAGGTGGCCGCCGAGCCATAACGATTGATGCGCACCACATGCCATTGGCCATCGTTGACGGCTACCGAATTGAGCCATAGATCCTTTTCCTCGGTGCGCAGCGAGTTCAAATTGTAGCGGAAGTGCAGACGTGCATCCTTTATCTCCAATATGCCGTATTCGCGATTGTGCTGATCGCTAACCCGGAACAGTTCGCCGTGTTCCTCGCGTGTACGGAAGCGTAGCTGCACCTGGGTGCTAAAGCGATCGGGCTCAAAGCTTAGAGCATATTTGACATAGCTCTGCGCCTTGAAGGTGGTGGGCACAGTGGGTATATTGCATGCGGGGCCCGTCCAGCCGGGTCGGCAATGGCAGCGCGCCTCCGAAAGGGAGCCAACGCAATTGCCATGCTCCCAGCAGCGTGCCGTTGCCTCCGTTTGGGCGCACACCTCCTCCGTCTGTGGGCAGCCGGCGACGCTGTTGCGCGACAGACCCGGATGGGCCAGATCGTACAGCTTGGAGTTGTGCACCAGGTTACGTATGCAGCCATCGAAGCCCTTCGCCGTGGGCATATAGTGCCAGAAGTAGAGAGATTGCTCGAACTGCTCCCTATAGAGGCCGCCCACCTGCAGCGGTGCGTTCACATTCAAGTACTCATTGAAGGGCGGTATCTGGCCGCGTGCCTGACACGAGGTATCATCGAATTCGGGCGGAGTGCCGTCCTCCATTTCGCTAATCTCGGCCGATTTGCAAAAGTCAACAACCATGCGTACACTCTCCGTATCCCAGAACAAATCAATGCGATGCCATTCGCCATCGTCTAGCGTTTTCTTGGTCTTTACGCGCAGCTCCAGTGTGCCCGAGCCAAAGTCTATCAGCAGCCGGGGATAGCCACGCTCCAGTTCCAGTGCTACAAAATCTGAGATGAGCATCTCATCGCGCTCGGGCGGCACAATGGGTCCATTGTAGATAATCAAGCCGTCCGGCTTGCGTGTTATAAACTCGAGACTCAGATGCGACTCGTCGCACATCTCCAGCGGTGGATACCAGGCCCAGCCGTTGCCGCGGAAGCTGCGCGTTGTTTGCTGGCAGCGCGGACCCGTATAGCCCGCCGGGCAGGAGCAGTGCGGTCCGAAGCGTGTGTCCACACAACGGCCGCCGTTGTGACACGGAGTGGTACGGCAGGATTCGGGCTTGGTGAAATTACGTGCACCACAAGTGCAATCGGCCAAGGTGTCCACGCGCACGCCCACCAGCGCTGTCTTGTTCGCATTCACCATATAGGGCAGGGGGCTAATCTCGAGGGCATTCGTGCAGCTGCCCTCGCACATTTGATTCTCGTACAGGCACTCATCGATGCCCACCATGGTGATATTGATGCCCACATCCTTTTCGATCTCCTCGCGATGCATCAGCACAATGCCATTGAGTCGGACTGGCTTGTAATAGGGTGAGCCGTGCGCCGAGAAGCGTACATCGGTCAGCGGCGGGTTGCGACGCTTCAGCTGCACGCTAAATATATCGACATTCTCGCGTTCCGTATTCAATAGGTCCGCCAGTTTATCCCTAAAACGATCCAGCTTGGAGCGACTCAGGCTCTGTGTGCGATAATTCCATACGCGTATGAAATCCTCATCGGAGATGCCCGACAGACGCACCGAACCCGAATTGATGACCGCCTCGTGTGGTATCTCACGCACCATAACGGTCACATTGGCCGGCACATCCGTCTGGGTGTGCTTCCGATCGTAGACCTTGAAGCGCAGATGGTAGCGACCCTCGCGTGTGCCCGCGCGCATTGTCACCATGCCAGAGTCCTCGTCCAGCTTGAAGCGTGGATGCTCCTGCGCCTCCCAATAGAACTTCTTGTCGGGCAAATCCCAATCGTCCAGATCGTAAACATAGACGCGGCCAATTGGCGTATCCGGCGACTGTCCCTGATAGTTGTACACGAATATATCCTTCGAGCCCGGCTGCATCTTGTTGTCGTTCACATCGCCAATGATCACCGTCAGCGTACTGGTGCCAGTCATTGCCGGCGAGCCATGATCCTTGATCACAATGGGTATCATGTACTCCTTCTGCTGCTCTCGATCAAAGGAGCGCAGTGACGAGATAACCGCCATGCCATCACCATTTGCACCCTCTATGAATGGGCAAAGGATTAGAGAGAAATTTATAAAATATATATATACAAATATATCACAAAAGTTATTCAATGCCCCAAACAATTGGTGAACATAACCGTTCCTAACTTATTCAAATATCTTAATTGGTTTCAATCTCAATAATCAATAATCAATATATAAAAATGTTTGTCCCGATTGACTGACTAACTGACTGACTGACTGACAGACTGACTGATTGGTGATCAACGCACAGGTCATAGCGTAGAGCTATGAAGCCGACAGTCGGGGTTTCGGGAAATTCCATTCGCAAGTGTGGAAAAATCGCGGTAAACGTTTGTATGAAACTTTTTGTGTACCATCCGATCGGCCTTATTTTCAAAGATCTTTACTCAAATTCATTCGAAAAATGCATTCCTCCTTGTTGGAAAGATTTGGTGAGTTTCCCACTCCCCTAACTCGGTCGAATCTCACCGATTTGCACTAGGTTTTGCTTTTTGGCCATGGTTTAGAGTCAAGATCAATGTGGCATCTTAATCTGGCAGCATGTTTCTTGGTCAAAGTTCATGAAGAAATGTAATCCTCAAATATCCTATATAGACGTAAGTCAAAATTTCCCAACCGATAACGCAGTCAAATCTCATCCGATTTTCGTAAGGTTTGGCTTCTTGTATATAATATAAAAACTCAATTTTATAAATCTAACTTTCAATATTTGCGAATATCAATTTCAATTAATTAGCAGTCAATTAGAAAGCACATTTGCGTAATTAATATGCCAACACATTATTCGAATGCTGTGCACAACTGTTGGATAATATTAAGATAAATTTGTTGTGACAAATTTAGTTTTGTTGCTAAGCTCTTAAAAGCATTTTCTAGTTAATTGTGCAGCGGAATGGGCAAAAGGCACCAATAAAGTTTGCTGTCAACCAGACAGAGCTCAACCTCAGAAGCTAAGCACCTTTATTAGTCTACACGTTTCCGGCTGATTGCACACTGGAAACAACTTTGGAAGGCAGCTTTTCCGACAATTTTGTGTATGTTTTTGCCCATTTGTTGTAATTACGCCTGGCGGGCCAACAAGTGTTAAGACTAACTCGTACATGCACATATTCCAGCCGCATGCATACAACAAATGTCGTTGCTAATCCGACTTACCACTTGCCACGCCCATGCAACCCAGCGCCGGCCCCCCCACCCATTCTCCCTCCTCCAACGAAGGTTCTTCTATTTCCATTCGGATTGTTCTGCTGCCTTTCGGGGAAGGGGATTGGGCAACGCACATTTCAAATGTATTTTTAAAGAGACTCCATGGTGTGTTTTTAGGCAAATTGTATGCAAATACGCTGGAGTCGACAAGGCCAATACACACACACACACACACCTACACCACAACACATTCACAAACACACACACTTACAAAGTCAAGCCACAGACGCAAAACTTTTCCGACTCCCCGTTGGCGCGCATTAAAATTGGATAGCAACCCGCACTACCCATGCACAGACACACACCACACACACCCACACATACATAGTCGTCGTCTCAGTAGCAGCTTGAAGCACCACACTGAGCTTGTATCCAAATGCTTTGACTTGGCCGGAACCCGAGCGAGCGTTCTGGCTAGAGACTCAACTATTTTTTTTGCATGTGGGAATAATTTAATTGAAAACTTGTGCATTTTGCTATTTTATTTTTTGACTGGACAGGTGTGTGTGTCTATGTGTGCGAATCCGTGTGTGTGTGTGTGTATGTGTGGTGGGTATCTTTGCTCAGGCTTATTTAATTTAAATTTTCACATTGTGTGTGCTGCTGCGGTTTGCTATTACCCGTTTTATGGCCCAATGCTTGATGCTATTCATTTCATTTATATGCGAGGTAATTGCATTTTTATGCTTTGGCTTTGCCACACATTGTGACAGCCAATACGAATACGAATTCGAATGCGAGCTCTAAAAGGCAATATTATTGTGCATAGTTTGTATGGACAACAACAACAACAATAATTGCAGTAGAACATTTTGCACTTTCGCATTGTTCAAACTTTGACCCACATATTTGGCTAACTTTTATGCATCGCACTTCGACACTTGGGGTCAACTCTCAGCTCTCTCTTTTGGCCATCAATGCGTGCAGTCATTTGCCACTTGGTGTGCTCGTGTTTTGAAAATAGCTAACCGAATGTGCAACTAAAATTAAAAATGAAATCATTTGAAAATAAATGTTGTCTATGCACACTAGCACTAACTAACACTTAAGTGTTGAGAAATGACACAAGTATTTATTATGTTTGTTTGATTTTTGACAAACTTTTTGCTTCTCAGACATCTTTTATACTTTGTGTAGGTTTTATTTAGTTTATTTTTATTAGGTAATATTGAAATCTTGCTTTGTGTATAGCATGCCGACAATTTCAGTGTTGTAAAACGACACCTACATATGTTTCCACATTTTGGATTTGCACTCTATGAAAAAACTAAGTAAATTCTTGTTCTGCCTATGAAAGTAATCAATTTACTATTTTAAATTGAGAAAAAAGATGTCTACATCTGATTATAAAAGTTAAGTGTTGTGAAGTGACATATTTGGCTGAAGGAACTTTATATTTATTGCGCCAGGGAATTGTTGAAATTTTGTTAATTCAAGAAATAAATAGCTTAGAACTGTCATATTAAACAATTAATATAACACTTAAGTGTTGCAAATGGACATATGCAGTTGAGACACAGTTTAGTGTTGTGAAATATTATTTCATTTAAAAATGTCATACATATATGACTTGCCACACCTAACTAGCATTTCTTTGCAACAAAGCTGCGCTTTCAAATTCAACACAATTAAAAATTATTCTTCCCAGCACTTAAAAAATCAATTAAAATTAACATAAAAACTCTACTCACTTTGATCCTGTTCAACCTTGAAGGAGGCGCGTATAATATCATCAGCGCTGGGATCCAAGCGAAACTGGAAGGGTGGTCCATTGCTCTTAGAGCGATCATCATCATCGGTGGCCAGAATTTCGACAACTTTACGTGGCGGCACATGCTCCGGCAGCACGGGTCTGTAATCCTTGAGGAACTTGGGTGCATTGTCATTGATATCCTGCACAATTACCGTCAGCGTAGCTGTTGCTGTTTTCGGTGGTGAACCATCGTCGATGGCCAAAATCTTGACCTGATGCCGCGGCACAACCTCACGATCCAGCGAACGTTGTATGGTGACCGAACCATTCTGATTGATGGCAAACTGACGCTGGCGATCCGAGGAGCGATCTATCGAATAGGAGACCTTGCTCTTGCCGCCCTGATCCGGATCGGTGGCCTTGAACTTCTCCAGCTCGGTGCCCACTTTGGTGTCCTCGAACACGGACACCTCAACGTTGGCGCGCTCAAAGTGGGGCTTGTTATCGTTGATATCGCGCAGCTTGACCACCACCCAGGAGTAGGCCACATGATATTTATCGTTATCGTTGTCCTCGCCCTTATCGTTCACCTGTATGCGAAAGCGGAAGCCGTTGCTCTGCAGCTGATCCTCATAGTCCAGCGGCTGGACAATCTTTAGTGAGCCGGTGCCATCATTGTTGCGCACCATTGTAAACTTATCGGCGCCATAGCCGCTGTTGTCGATAACTTTATATTGGAACTTGTTCGTTTCGTCCTCGTCGTGCACTGTGACTGTCAGTATGGGCATTTCGGGCAGGGCGGTGCCATCCGTTTCATCCACCTCCGTGAACCATTCGTCTTTGGTGAACTGTGGCGGCATGTCATTAATATCCTTGACACGTATAGACGCCGTGCCCGTGCCCTTTAACCCCCCGCCATCCATGGCAACCACTTGTATCGAATAATCCGGCGTACGCTCACGATCCAAACAACAAACAGCTGTCTTTATTACGCCCGTGTCCGGTTCTATTTCAAAAATGGGCGAACCCGTCTCCTCTTCAATCACATTCTTTTCAATCGAGTAGACCAGACGCGCATTCGAACCCTCATTGGGATCGTCATAGTCGACAGCTGTCATGGTCATGACCACCATGCCGGCGGTGCCATTTTCCGTAACGTTACCAAAGTAAACACCCTGCGGGAAAATGGGCGCATTGTCGTTGATATCCTTCAGATTAACCTGAACATCCGCATAGCCCACAAGACCCTCGCCGCCCTCATCCTGAGCAAAGACGGTGAAACGCCACTGTGGTCGTCCGTTCGGTTGATCGCGATCCAGCGGCTGCAGGGGAGAGGGTGAGTTAGAAAGGGAGAGATAGGAGATAAATACTGTGTAAATACGAATTCAGCTAGAATAGAAGGGAGTTAACATGTTTGAGCCGGCTATTGTGTAATTTTAGCTGTCATAACCGCAAAACCGATTAACATCAGTGTAAACATTGTTGGCGCACATAGCCAAGTCCAACACTTAGAAAAATCAAAAGCAGTTCGAAAATTCTCTTTTGCTCTGCTTGCAATAAATAATTTTGTTCTTGAAAATACTTAGAATTGAATAAGGCACACTTTTTTCAAGAACTTTTACCAAATTTAAGTCTATTTTTTCAGGCATTTGATAATTAGGCAAAAAGGTTTAAATACGAATTTGGTGCTCAGTTTACGAAATTTTGACTTAATTTGAGTACGCACAATTTTGAATAAATTTCTTCGAGTGCACAACCACTTGCCCAGCTACCCTCAAATATATGAAAACGAACAAGTGCAACTCCACGAAGCTCCAGTAAAACTCCCTGTGTCTGTGTGTTTGTGTGTGTGTGTGTGTGTAACCCTGTAAAATTATCCATTCACAATGGCAGCGCCCGCCCACAGCTGTGCTGAGCTGTGGGTCGCCAGTCCCTGGTGCTGATTTTGACTTTGATATGCATACAGAGGCTGGCTTGAGTGATGTGATGTGAAGCTGCGGCAATCCGGCAGCCATTACCCAACGCAATCCGAGCCCCAAACCTCACCTGGTTAAAAGGGGCGGGTTAAGACCACCTTTTTATAATAACAAGTGCAGAAAAAACGATTTTAATCAGCACTTTTGTATCTCTCTCGGCTCATGCTGTTACGCAGCAGCCAGCCCCTGGATAACGACAATCTACAGCTGAGTGTATGCCCCCCAAAAAAAAAACCCCTGGACCTGCTTCTGGCATGACAGCCTCAACGTAACGTTACAAATACAACAATAACAGCAGGACATGCAGTAACAGGAACAACTTTTCATAGCGCTGACATTGGATTAGTTGTATAAAATTGAAAGCGGCAAAAAATAAGAAAAGAAAAAACATACACACGGTCCTCATCGCTTTAATTTGCATGACAAATTTGACAGCATTGTTATGACATATTCAATTTAAGGGATTAGTTGGACTACGAGCGCGCGTGTGTGTGTGTGTGTGTGTGTGTGCGTGTGTTTTTATGTGTGGATTGCATGTGTGTGCATTCATGTACATATCCCTATGCTGCCCTTTTTTTCTTTACTGCAGCACGCGCATTATTGTTTTTACCACAAAAGTTTTTGTGCTTTTAGCTGCACATTCTGATACAATATTACTTCATTAATGACCAATAGAGCACACAAAAATATACAATTTTTTCAAGTGTTTTTGCAGGGTTTTCTCCTTGTACGTTTTTATTTAATTTTTCTTTTAGTTTTGTTAGCTTTTATGAGATATTTATTTAAATTCGCATGGCTTTTAAATAGCATATTTGCGTTTTTGAAATTGTATTGCGAAATCTTCTTAACAAGTAACAAATTCTGTAATGTTTACTAACATTATGTTAGGTGTACAACAATTTGCTGTTAACGACGCTGTTAAGTTCCTTGCTGCAGCTTATAGCAACAAGCAGTGACATTTCAATGTTAGTTTTATCTCATTTAGAATTAATCTGAAGTGCTTCAAAAAACTATTAAGCATTCTTCTAGCTCTGTAATGAACCTACACATTATTATGATTATGTTAACTACCACACAATACTAAACATATCCAATAATAAAATGTAGCAAGGCTCTGTAATTCTGTAATTCTTTTCTACCATCTGTTAATTAACTTGCAATGTTTCTTACTGATAGTTAACAGTTCACAGTAACATATTAATGTTAAAGTTTATGTGAACTGCACTACGAATGTATTTTAAAATGCATCATATTCAGGCACATATAAAACTCAAGCTTAAGAACACTTAGAAGTTCCCTCGATACGTCCATGACTCTTTTCAGTTAATTGACTTGCTCAAACTTTATAAATTATCACACCACTTCATTCACGTCATGCACGACTCATGTGATTAAAAACCATTTTTCGCAGCAAATAAAAACAAGAGTGGGCACTTTTTTTATTTTTAAAGGCACCACCTTCATTAATCAATACAACTATATGCGCATTGATTTAAATACGTTGCCACAAAAGCGCCCACAATTCTTCGCCCCATAAAAACTTAAATGTTAAATAATGAGTTTCGCGCGTTCCCAGTTGCGTTAAGAATGGGTCTGGCTGGCGTTCTTATGCAGGGGCCCGCCGCAGCTGTCTGGGGATTAAGTGTGCATTGATGGAGCTTAATCAGAGCGCATATTGCGCAATCATTTTCAGTTACCGCTGGCCACAACAGCTGTGTATTCCAATGTGGCCATGGGCCGCAGTTTTTAAGCACTTTTCTAAATACCCTGCATGCACTCAAAGTGGGTATACTGGTTATTGCGTAAAGCTGACAAAACTTACTCGTGAAATACCTGTTTTTCAAGTCGAAACTGTTTTTAATAGAAGTAGACAAAATTAAGAAAACCTTCTCTTTTGAGCTTGTGCATTTTATTCTATGCCGAAGGTATCTGCTAGTCGTGCGCATTCGTAGTATTTTTATTCATACATATTATCGTCATGTTCGTTGAGGTTTTGGTGACATTTTGTTAATGCTTCAATTGCAGTTGTGTTGATTTAAGAATGTCCCGGATTTATTATTGCTTTTGCAAAATGTTTTTTGTTGTACACTTACCTTAAGCACAAATATTTCGCCCGTTGTGCGATTAATGTCGAATTTGCTATTGGCTGGATTATCGGGATCTATGCCTTGGCCAGTTAGAAAATAAACAATATTTTGCGGACGATCCTTGTCGCCATCCGTGGCGGTAACCTGTAACCCGGTGCGGTGCAGTGGAAAATAAACATAAATATTACAATATTAGTTTGGATTTTTCCTCTTTTTTTTCGTTGTGTAAATCAAGAAAAGATAAACAAAAGTGCAGCGCTTAAAACTAATATTAAAATCAAACCGCACAACAAAGGTAGAAAAAAGCAATAGAATTGAGTGCATGCAAAAAGTAAATTCTCCAAGTGTTAAAAGGAATATAACATAACAATTAGTTTTGGTCGTTTTAGAGCACTTAACATGCGTTGGTTTAACAGTGCGCCAGGTGGCGTTTTAGCAGGGTTGCCACACTCTACGCAGTTCTCACATTTGATGTGTTGGCAATTAATAAATCCCAGCACCTGATATATGAATTATAAGTGCTTTTCATGGCTGTTATTAATTTTTTAATATGCAATTATTGAATTAAATTAGTTAAATGGATAAAACCAAAGGTTAGTTAAGCACAAGCTTATAAAACCACAATAAAAAATCTCTAAAAACGAGTAAACAAAACCATGCAAAGATTTAAGCACATACATTTGTTGCATTAAAAAATAAACAACCAAATTTAATTAGCAGCTGCTACTCTGTGTGTGTGTGTGTAAATAAAATGTCAAAGTATTCAAAATATTTATGCATGCATTTAAAGGCCGACCACAAACAACAACCGCACAATACAAATTTTGCTGAAATCTCTCGAGCTCACATTTCCCCAATTCATAAAAATAATATTTTTGAGTGAAAATTAAATCCGACGCACATAGTACAAATAAAATGAAATATTTTCGTATAAAGCAGCAATCATATCAAATTTAATGCTCAGTCGAAAATATACGTTTCTCAAAGCCAACAAAATGTTTAATAATAATTGAAATTGCAAATGGTCTTAACAACAAATAATAGACAACATTTTGCAGTGAGATTTTCTTTCAGTTATCATTTCGTTTCGTTTCTTCATAGTTTAAGTTAAATTAAATTATACACCTTTTAACAAGCAGCACAGAATATTCATTAATTTTATTATATGGATGTGTGTGTGTGTGTGCTATTGTTATTTTAATATAATTTATAAGAGGGCGAAATGATTACGATGAGCTTTTGTTGTTGCCATGTTAAATTAATAGTTTAATGAGAACTGAGCTATTATCATACACACATGTTATTATGCAGCATGTACACTGAGAGAAAACAGTCAAGTATTCGATGCTTAAATTAAGTATGTAAGTAAATGCAAGAATTTGTTAAACTCTCTATGCCCTAATTTTCTGTTGTCAACTAATTATTTTATATCAAAAACAAAGCTGTTGTAAAATCTTTCGCCGGCTTATCTAGCTTTTCTCTCAGTGTACATTATATATAATTCATGTTTAAGGTATTTACAATACGATATAATAGAGCATACGATACGATATATTGTGTGTTTGTGTATATATACATATATTTATATGTTTTGTGTAAACGAAATAGCGACCTGCATAATGGTAAAGGGCGTGGCCATTTCCTCGTTGAGGCTGCGCTCGTATAAAGTTTGTGGAAAAACCGGCGGCAGATCGTTGACATCGCGCACGCTTATAACGATTGTTGTTTGATTTTCATTTAAACTATCCGAGGCGACCAATTTCAGCTCGTACTAACGCACACGTAAAACCCAAATAAAAACCGACAACAACATCAACAACAAATATTGGGTCCATGTGCGTTAACAATAAATAAAGCCATAAATAAGAAAAAGACAAAAAAAAAATAAATAAATAGCCAAAAGGAGAAACAAATATAAATAACAATCAAGTATAAATTTAAAATTCGTTATAAATAATATAAAATAAATTGAGAATAAACTATTTATATACTTGCTAAAAAATAAATTTTAAATAAAATATATGTGTATGTTCGACTTCATTTACAAATGTTCCTTCTCGGGTTTCAATACATCATGTATATGGTTTTTATTTCATGTGTGTGTGCCGCACTGTCTATCTTTTAGTCCGCGACATGTTCATCAGGTTTGCATGCCTCTTTAATCATTTATATTTGTTTAATTCATTTTTTTCAAACAAATTTGTTTATATTGAATTTTTGTTTTATAATTAGCTGCGCGTGCTTAATGATTTATCAACATATTATTCTTAGTTTGTCGGACTTTTTGAACTGTAAATAAATAAATGTATTTATGCATGGCAAAATACATTTCTTTGTATCCTTTTGTGCAGAAGCCATTAGCAAATCGCTTTTTTTTCTGTTTTTAGACAAAAGTGTGCGCTAAAAAAACACTATTTTAATGCCAAAAGTGAACGTACAAAAATATATATATAAAAAAAAAACCTTGTGTTAATGGTGTGCAAAGTATTTAAGCCTTGACTTAATGTAGATAATTGAAATAAATATTTGCTTTGCGTCGACCTAATTGAAATGCCATTAAATCAAATATATATTTATTTACTTATTTTGCGTTGTCAGTCATAAAAAGATGTTGACTTTTTGTTTATTTATTTATTTGATTGCAACAATTTAAACCAACAAAAAAGTGGAATTTTTCAGGCAAAGAAAAATAAACGCATGACATGCATTAAAATCGAAACATAATAATATTGTTGTGGGGGAGAGGGACAACGTGGCGTATGCTTCATATACATATGCATTGGAAAACATATTGAAAAAGCGCTACAAAAGAAAAGCTAAAAACAAACTCATGACAATCACAACTAATGTCAACTAATATTGACAAATCTCTAAGTTCGATTTGTTTTTTTTTATTTAATGACCTGCAAAACACGCTTGGGCAAATTACGATCATCCTCTTCGGTAATTTGTGTGCGATATGTGGGTCGCTCGAACACGGGCGGATTGTCATTAACATCCTTGACATGAATGATGACCGTCGTATAGTTTTCCTTTAAATTATCGGAGGCAGCCAAACGCAGCTCATACTGTTTGACAAATATTTTGTTAATTAAATGTTATTAAATAATTAATTTTAATTTGTTGCCAGAGCCGGCATTAAATATTCATTTGCATTCTATAAGTATGTTCTGCATTGTATAAATTTCTACTTTTCACTCTCTCTCTCTTTTGGTCTTTTCCGTCTGCCTCTCAATTCAATTAAACTTCTGGCAACTCTTGCCAGCACATTGGCCAATTGTTCAAATTGAAATTCAATTAATGTTTCGCCTGACTTTCTTCAATTCTATCAAGCCTTATGCACTTCGTGCGCTTTTTGTCCTTTCCGCTTTTGACCGCAGCGTGTAACTAAACTTGTTTGAATTGTTTAAATATTTAACTAGCCTCGCGGTGCAGCTGCTGCACATAATGAAATTCAGTGGGAATTGCACTTGCTTCACAGTTTCGTAATGAATTTTATAGTCGTTCAGATCTTGCTTACATATTGAATTGCTAAATTGATTGCACAAGCTAAATATACAATTAACCTGATTCTAAGTTTGTAGCCAATCAATAAAATTTGCTCGTAGTCTCATTTTTCAGTGCACATACATTATTTATATGCTAGTTATGCTAATGTTATATGCATATAACAGTTTTGGTGTTCTACTGAGCCTATTTTGTATTCCTGTTATGCGTAAACTATATGAATATTATAGTTTTTGTGTCCTGCTGGACCTTTTTTTGTAGGCCAGTTATGTCCATGATACATGCATATAACTGTTTATTAAGTTTTGCACGTATATCAGTTTGTGTGTTCTACTGAGTTTATTTGCATGTCAGTTATGCTAATGTTATATGCATATAACAGTTTTGGGGTTCTACTGAGCCTATTTTGTATCCCAGTTATGCCAAAATTATATGAGTATAATAGTCTTTGTGTTCTAGTGGACTTATTTTGTGGACCAGTTATGTATGTCCATGATATATGCATATACCTGTTTGTGTGTTCTTTTACACGAATTTTATGCCAGTTAGGTTTTACACATATATCAGTTTGTGTTTTCTACTGGGCTTATTTGTACGCCAGTTATGCATATAATAGTTTGTGTGTTCTACTGGACTTATTTGTATTGCAGTTATGCCTATTTTATATGCATATAACAGTATATAGCAGCTTGTGTCTTCTACCGGGGTTATTTGTATGCCAGTTTTGATTAAGTTATATGCATATATCAGCTTGTGTGTCCTACTTGACTTTTTTGTATGTCAGATATGCTCGTATGCATATTAAAGTATGTGTGTTTTATAGGAGTATCCACTGTGGCAAAAACCCGGTAGGAATTCAATTTATTTAATGCGACACAAGCAAATTTTACAATTGACTGAACCCTTGCGTATATCAAACATAAATGTATATACAAAATTATATATATCACATAAATATGTATGTTAAACTTACCCTGCGTCGCGTTTCGTAGTCTAAAGCGCCGGCCACATAAATGGCACCCGTCATATTTTTAACAGCAAAAGCGCCGCCAATGTTGCCGCTGGTGATTTCATAGCGTATACGTGAAGCTGGAAAATAATTGTTAGCAATTCATATTAGTCAGCCAAAAGAAATGTGTTCTATGCGAAATATGTTGTGTGTCTTGGCATACTACTTACATTCATCGTGATCCTTGGCCGTGACTGTCAGCACTGTGTGCTGTATATCCTCATTCTCGTCCACTTCCGCCTCGTAGAGCGATTTGTCGAAATAGGGTGGATTATCGTTCTTATCGGCAATGCCAATACGTATGAATTTGGTGACTGTTTTTTTTTTTTTCGTTTTGTGGAAAAGAATAGAAATTTAACATTATTTTCAGGGAGATTCTTTGCGTTATTTTAAATCATTAAGGCAGCGAAAAGTTTCGCGCGCGGTTTGGTACTTGGAAATGTAATGTCTGCGAAAAGTATGCAATTATCACGTACCAGACACGAATGAATGGAAATTTTACACCAAGCGCAAAAAGTTGTGAGACAACAACAATTTGACGCCTTCCATTCGACGCGTCCGACAATCATTTGCTTTTCAGTTTTATTTGTGACTCTTCTGAGGGGTGTGTAAAAGCTGTTGACGCGTTTCGCATATTAAATAGTTGAAATAGTCTTGGTTTCTTTTTGTTTACATCTCGCCAATTCTTACTGCTGCTGCTGCTGCTGCTGCTGAGTGTGATGATGTAATTTATGTGTTTATGATGACAACTTCAATTGCATTAAAGTTAGGGGATTGGTTTCAAGTAAATAACAAATTTAGTGGCTGTTAATGTGAGTGTGTGTGTTAAATAAATGTTAAATGTGTGAGTACTGTTAGAAAAAATATCAATTTTATTGATAGTATTTGTATTTCTATATCATATCTCTTTCCTCTGTTAATGCTTTAGCTTATAGTGGAATAACATAAGACTATTTACATAACAATAGTTACAGACCTTTAAACAGAAATGTCACTGTTATTGAACAGATACTGACAAGCGTAAAGTGCATGATAACTTTTATACACAAGTTAGTTTAACAGAAGCGCACGATAAACTAACTAAGATAACTGTAGAGTTATCTGTAGACTGTAGAGTCACGTCTTGCCTTCTATTTAAATTTATTTATTTATGATTTTAAGCTAGCAAAGACTTATTAAAGCATTCTAAGGTTTCTCAGCTGTCACCTGAGCCATGAATTATTTAATAAGCAACTTAACAAAGCCAACAATTCCATGCAAGCGACTGCTGTAAGACACAATTGTTGCCCAGACAAGACGAATGGGAGAGAGCGAGACAAACACACGGTCGAGTGGCAAGTAAATTACATAAATCATTTATAATTGTTGAAATAACAACAACTACGGAGCTGTTATAATTAAATAAATTTCGAATAGAGCTGCAAGAGGCAAAAGTTGACCAAGCAAAAGATTTGTAAATTTCTGTGCCACATTGACAAACTCTGCCCATCAAATAGGTCACACAAACAGCTTATTAGCTGCATCTGTATGTGTAGACTAGAAAGATGTCTGTTTAACAAAATTATATGCATATAATATATAACATACACATACATACATATATTTGGGTGTGTGCGTATTTGGATTTGTAATTTGCATTTGCTGGCTTCTTATCTAACCAGAATTATGCACGTTTAGTTAGTAGGTTGACAATTCTGAGACTGCATCTGGGCGTACGTAGCGTATGTGCGATATGATCCGTCCTTGTGTGTTTGTGTGTGTGTGTGTGTGTGGGTTGGCAAATGTTTGAGCCAATGCATAATGAAATTTATGGCAAGACATTTCTAATTGTCAACTGACCTGTATCTGCTGATTCAATGTGACGACATTTTAATTAAAACTTGTTAAAAGAAGTGCTTAAATATATGTCATGTTTATATACAATGTAATTGTTATATTATGCTGCTAATTAACAGCCAGTTTACAGAGCTGCTAGCTTTAACATTTGGCGTTAAGACGGCAGCAGCTAAATTTAACAGAATGCTAATTAAATGTTCATTAACAGAACGTAAATATGGCATTACATTTACAGCCAGTTTACATAGGTGGTTCCTTTAATATTTATTGTTTAATTAGCAGCTGCCATTAAACAGAATGCTAAATAAATGTTCTGTAGCAGAATGTCAAATTAATATCATGTTGGGAACATACTTTTTTAATGAAGCTCAGTGTTGTGAAACAGATATAAACAAGGTTTTTGAGATACAACAATTAGGGTTTTTCAATTTAATTTTTTGTTGCCAGAACTAATTCACGAAATTTCAGTTGAGTTTTTCAATTTTCGCATATTTAAATATGTAATGTACTGAAAAAAACCTTAAAAATTCTTTAATTTTACCACTTTTTCTGTGATTATTTATGGGATTAATGGGAATTAAAGAACAGCAGAAAAGTAAACGGATTGCTCTGGGCGGCAAATGCTGCTGCCTGCTGTAATTAGCAGCATTTAAATGTAAGCTGTCGCTTATGACTGTTATGCCACGCCCATTGTCTGCGCATTAACTGTTACACATTTGCACAGTTTCCAATATTTTTCTTTTTCAATACCGTCGCCTGTCACATATGTGCACAAATATTTTTTTATATATTGATATCCCCGCAACATTTTTCTCTTCATTGACTTTATTACATCAAAATTCATTTTTTTTCTTCTTTTACACATACACACGCACACGTACACACACACACACACAGACGCATACAAAAGTATGTGCATATGTATTAATGTATGTTTATTACTTTTTTATGGTAGGTAAAGCAGCAAGCCGAGTTGTTGTTGTTGTTTTTGTTGCCATGTTTATTGAAAGTTGACGTTTAAGTTATGAAATTTTCATGATGCATGTTATTTGAAGCAGATTCTTTGCCGCATGCCACATGCCGCGAAACTCCATTGAGCTCTGACATGAAAGCGAATCAAATTATTATTGCTTTTTATGAGGAAATAATTAAAAAAAAAAAATAATAAGAGGAAGGAAGGAAATACATAAAACACAAGCAAATATCAATAAAACAGTAGAGTACAATATTAAAAAAGCATGAGTTATTTTCGCATTATATCGTGCAGCTTTGTTGATTAAAGCCCGAAAATGTTGGCATTCAGCTGGGATCAATTTTATTGAATTCACCACAAACTTATCAAGCCGCCAGGCGGCATAAAATAATAGTTGCGAGTGTTCTGGTAAAAAGCCCCCGACTGGACAATAATTCAAAATTGCAATTACGAAAAATGTGTTGTTTATTCATTTCTGTGATCATTTTTTTGGGATCGAAGGCGATTTCTTACACAAATCAAAGTAAAAATGTTCTATATTAACAGCAGTTAAGTTTACAGGATTTAGATTACAGGATACAGCGTATTTCTGACTGTTGCAAATCCAAATAAAGATTTTCTATTAATACATAAACAGCAGCTGTTAAATGTTTACATATTCTGTTAAATTTGAATAAAGTCCTGTAATTGAACAATGAAGATATACTTTATTAACATGAATAGCAGCTATTAAGCTTTAAACATTTTGAATACCGTTAAAGGTACTTTCATGAGCTGCATTTAACAGTTGCTGACAGTTCTGTTCCAGCTGTTCCAACTTTTGGAGCGGGGGTAACAAATAAAATTCCTAGCTTTGCGCTTTGTCACTTGCTTTTGCGTGTTGTATTCTGTATTTGAGCAGTGCTACAAATCGAAAACGCTTGACAATGGCAGCAACAATGACAAAGACTGCCATAAAAATTGACATTGGGTTGGCTGCACCTCGATGGGGCGGTTGTGTGTGGGGCGTGCGGCAGAAATGTGAGTCAAGCCTGAGAGAGTGGCAAAATCAAAGTTGAACTTTATCACTTACTTAGCTCACATAAAATGTGTCACAGCTGTTTCCAGGGTCTCAGCACGTGTGTGTGTTGGAGTGTGTGTGTGTGTGTGTGTGTGTATGCCCAAATAAATAGTGTTCCATTTGCCCAGTTGCCATCTTTAGTTGCTACGCTTTGCTGCACATGCCACACTCGCGCTAGCCCGAATCCCCACTTCCGCTCGCTCCTTTCAAGAATCGCAAAATTTATGCGCTACTTTTTCGCGTGTGCACGCACGCATATCAATACACGTGTGTGCCTGTGTATGTGTGTAAGTGTGTTTTCACATCAAAATCGCAGCTGCCATATTTTTTGCACGCTTTCTTTAACAATTTTGCGCGCTCCTCGACTGTTTATGTGCCAGATGTAATACTCTCACTTATAAAATAGCTCAACATATTTTAATATATTAAATATGTCAAATTGTATAAAAAATGTTGAAAACATTAATCTATGCTGTTACATTACATAACGCTGGCTATATATAAAATATGTTAATCTAAGCATTGCTCTATAATTTTAACATTTCTGTTAGAGCATGTCTCTAACGACTTTTGCTTTAGAAATTTCCCTACTTATTTGTTGGTTTGCCTGTCGCCAAAGTTTATCGTCAATTCTTGCACTTGATTGAGCTTAAATGATATTCAATAGTTGCGAGCGTTCAAAAAGCAAAGGAATCAATTTCTCTCGTTGTCTTTTCTCTCAGTTGCAAATCGAATGCTTTAGTTGCCAGACATTAAAGGGATTTGGTTGGACTTATTCCAATAAATAAAACTATTTTGCTCGACTAGCTGACTAAATGATTGACTGACTGGCAGACTGAATGATAAACTCATATTTTCATTGTAAGTACCTTGTATGTTGTAAATTGGCTCAAGACGGCATTTTGGGAAATTTATTTTCCAGTGGCATTAAACTTTTCTTTGGAGACTTTTGCTTGACAACCCATTAATATCAAACTTATTCTCAAAAATGTATGTGATATGTCATTTGTGTTGCATACCAAGTGGAAAAGGAAAAAATAAAGAAAGGCACACAGATAAGGTTGGGTTGTACATGAAATCAAATGTAGATCTATTTATATGGCTTTATCGCCAAGAGCTAATTGGCAACTTGACCGCATTACACTCTTTTTGCCGTCGATGTGGAAGCATTCGCACTTTATGTCTGAAACCAAATCTTGCTAACACAATGTCTAAAGGAAATCACAACACGAATCTCTTGGCCAGCATTTGAGCAACGGAAGCGGAAATGTGTGGGCCATTAATGGCGCTTAATGTGGCCTGGCAATAAACTCGGCTAACTGCATGTCCAAGTAGATATCAAATGTGTATATATAGAGCTGCAACTGCCACTGCAACTGCTTACTGCTGGCTGCTTACTGCTTACTGCTAACGGCATCTAAATTGTTGCAAATGTTTTATTGCAA